ATTGCATGGTTCAGAAAATCCCAAGTTGAAATATTAAAGTACTGACAGTTTTATAGCACTGGGGACAACAGACAGAGCAAATCTTCATTGAGGATTGTAACCTAAACCCACCCAGATCCCTCAGAATTCCTGAAGATTTGATCAGTGTCAAATTATGAGCTCACATTAAAAAAATACCAAGTACTCCAGAAAACAAGTCAACAATAAACAGGAGTTAACAGAAACAATAAAGATCAGGTTTAGAAGCCAGGTTTTAGTGGCTCATGCCTATAATCCCAGATGCTCAGAAGGCAGAGATTGGGAGGAATGTGGTTCCATGCCAGCCAGACCAAAGTCAGTGAGACCCTATCTCAAAATAAAATAAAGACAAAAGGGCTGGGAGAGTGACTCAAGTAGTGCTTGCCTAGCATGTTGGAGGCCCCAGTGTGTGTGTGTAGTGGAGTGGAACCAGTATTAGCTCTACAGGAACCTGGATAATGGGATTATCAGATTCAGAATATAACATAAGCATGCTTTAGACAAATAAGGGAATTAAGAACATGAGGAAGGAACAAAAGACTACTTCACCTGACTTACTTGAAAAAGAACCACCCAGAACTTTAAAATTAAGTCATAATGGAGTGGCTAAAGAACAGATAAAGCCGGGTATGGTGACCCTTGCCTGTAATCTCAATATTTTGGAGTTTGAGGCAGGAGGATAATGAGCCAGCCTGGGCTATACAGAAAGGGAGAGAGGGAAGAAAGGGAGGAAGGGCAAGAGGGAGGACAGATTAAATACAGCCAATGAAAGCACTAGTGAATTATAATGGAGAGCTGAAGAAATTATAGAATGTAGCCCTGAAAGATAAAGAAATGGAAAATATAAAACAGTGGTTAACACCTGTGGGACACAAAATGTGAGAATATAGCATTCAGCTAATTGGAATTCCAGAAATGCAACTAGAGAGAGTGGGAAAAAAGCAGTAAGTCAAAAGATACAAAGACAGTGAATTTCCAGTTTTAAAAACTTTCTGAAAAAGATAAATCCTTCAATTAAGAAATCACAATATATTCCAAGCAACACTGAAATAAAGACCTGCACACCAGCAGAATACCAAAATCAAAGAGAAATCTTGAGAATAACCAGAGAGAACTAAAATGAAATGACAATAAGCTTAAAGCAGACTTTTTCAACATGAACCACAAAAAGCCACAACATAATGGAATGGAATCTTTAAAGTGTCAACCCTGGTTTGGGATTTGGCTTGAGTAGTAGACCGCCTGCCTAGCAAATGTGAGGCTCTGAATTCAAACCCCAGTACCACAAAAACAAACAAACAAAAAATAAAGTGTCAATCCTGAATTAACACTCAAGAATGCAAGTGAAATAACAAAATGAGAAGTTGCCAAAGGACTTTCTAAAGCATATGTCTGGAAGAAGCAAAGTGATTCCTAAAAGAAAGGTGAGCAATGAGCAGGAATGCTAAAGAAACAGGTGAGCATATGGATAAATATAAATAATGTCTACATAAAACAGTAATAATGGGCTGGGGATGTAGTTCAGTGTAGAGTGCTTGCCTAGCATGATGAGGTCCTAGGTTTGTTCCCCAGCACAGCACAAAACAATGTAACAACAGGAAAAAAAAAAAAAAACAAGCAGAGGCATGACTCAGGTGGGGTAGAGTGCCTGCCCTGGAAGCAGGAAGCCTGAATTCAAATCCCAGTGCAGTGGTCCACACAGTGGAGAGCACTACAGTTAATGACTGTTGAGTCCATCTTTGACCTTTTCTTTTACTCCCCTAATAGCAATCACCAAGTATTTTAAATCCATCCTTTGTTACGATTCTTGTGCTTATTCTGACCTTGTATTCTAGTGTAGGTCCTCATTTAAATCGTGCTTATCTTGATGTAGTAGGCACCAGAAATCTTCCTGCCTCTAATCTTTGCTTTATCCTATGTGCTGCCACCCAATTTTAATCTTACAAAAACAAGTGTTGGCTTCCACCCAAATCTACTTAAGTTTTCCAGGCAACTGTAAACAACCACTTGCTGTCTTCAAAACTCTGTAAACTGGTCCTGGCCTACCCTTCTACTCCTTACTACACAAATCCATTTAATCATCTGAATAGAGATTGAGAATTTTGTCTCCACAGCTTTATTTGTTTCTTATCTTCAACCTGAAAAGCCCCAACCCCAAGCCAAATTCTGCCTGGTTCAGATATCCTCTCTTCTCAGAAATCTGTTTTACTGTTAGAATCTGCATTAATAATCTGAATTTCCAGATGGGTGTTGTGATGCACACTTGCAAATCTAATACCCACAGGCTGAGGCAGGAGGATCCTGAGTTCAAGGCCAGCTTGGGCTACACAGTGAGACCCTGCTTCCAACAAACAAAAAAACAGTCCCGAATTTCTAAAAGTCACACTATTTCAGTCATTCAGGATATTTAACCACACTGTGTCTTGGATTATGGGCTATTTGTCTCCTCTACCATAGGCTACTTAGGATGGGATTATGTCTAACGTATTTTGCTAACTTGTATATATATGCTAAAACATTTGTAGTTAATTAACGAAATAAAGCAGGATCTTCAAGAAGCCAGAAAAAGAAGTCTAACTCCATTCAGCATATTTCAAACAGCTACCCAGTGTTTTTTGTTTTGTTTTGTTTCTGCAGTGCTGGGGACTGAACCCAGGGCCTTGCACATGTTGGCAAGCACTCTACTTCTGAACTGTAGCCCCAGCTACCTAATCAAAAAAACCTGTTCTCATAGCTATTAAAGGCTGTATTTCCATTACTCTGCTTGTAGTTTGTGGACCACTATCTAATGTTTACATTTAACTATAACGTAATCTACTCTGTATGTGAATGTCTCTTAAGCAGGGTGATTTGAACTTGCATGACTCTCCACTTTTGTCACTGAGTTATTCCCTTTCTACTTTAGTTTTCTTATTTATAAAATGACCTTAAGATCTATCCCCAGATTAAAGTTTATGGCACTTGGCCAGAGCAAAATGGATTTTTATTCTAATATCCTAACTTACAGGATAACCCCACTTAAATATAAATAGCCAGGCATGATATTACATGCCTGTAATCACAAAATTTGGGAGGCTGAGGCAGAAGGATCCTAAGTCTGAGGCCAGCCTTGGTACAAAGCAAGACCCTGTCTCAAAAATTCAAAAAACAGCTGGGCACCATGGCTCACCTCTATAATCCTAGCTACTCAGGAGGTAGAGATCAGAAGGATCACAGTTCAAAGCCAGCCATGGCAAGTAATTTGTGAGACTCTAATTTCAAAAAATACCCAAAACAAAACAGGGCTCAAGGTAGAGTGGCTCAAGCAGTAGTACACGTGCCTAGCAAGAGTGAGGCCCTCAGTTCAAATCCCAATACTGCTCAAAAAAAATTTCAAAAAACAAAACAAAGGCATTAACCTTCTACAATGCTACTTAATTCCTGCGCAGAATTTTGTTTCATCTACATATTTATACAGGCGAGGCAACTTACCAATCATCTTTTTAAGGTCAAAATATGCTCAAATAATAATCATTTTCTGGTACTTAAAATGTAGAGTAGAAACAATTTCATATGTTATTTAATCTCACAACTTTAAAAGATAAACCATCTTTAGACCAGTATTTCCCAACCCAAGGAAATCTTGTCCCACCCCTATACTACCTCCCACCACTGGGGATATCTGGAGACTCTCTTGGTTGTTATAATTTTGGGGGATGGGAGAGGCCAGTGATGCTGTTAAACATCCTATGGTGCACAAAAAAACTTCCACAACAAAAAAATTATCCAGCCCAAAATGCCAGTAGAACTGAGGCTGAGAAACCCTGCTGGCCTCATCTTTCAGATAAGAAATCAAAGCCTGCTGTGCACCAGAGGCTCACGCCTATAATCTTAACTCGGAGGTGGAGATCAGGAGGATCAAGGTTTGGAAGCTAGTCCCGGCAAATAATTCTCCAGACTCTATCTTGAAAAAACTCATCACACACACACAAAAAGGGCTGGTGGAGTGGTTCAAGGTATAGCCCCTGAGTTGAAATCCCAGTACCACAAAAAAAAAAAAAAGAAATCAAAGCTTTAGAGAGCTTTACTTACTTGCCCAGAGTTATGCAGATGGTAAATGAATAGGAATCTAAAATCATCTCTGTATGACATCAAAACAAGGGTATGCTCTATCACACACACAAATACTGGTGAGTGTTTCAGGTGAGATTTGCATCATATATTATCAGTGACTCCTCTCCCCCATTTAGTCTTGGTGTTTTAAATTTTGCTGACCTCATCTAGGAAAAGGATTCAGAAGCAGCTTTCTCAGACTCTCAGGTCAAATTTAAGAGATGCCTTCTTTTGTGCTTCTCTGTATCTACTATCTATAGCTTCCCAGTAGCAGTACCATAGTGTACAGTGTGCTTGTGTAACTATGTTCCTTTTAGACTATAAGCTTATGAAGGTTTGCCTCTCCATTTTTGTATTTCTCATGCCAAGCAAAGTATCTCAGCACAGAGTACACATTCCATAAATACGTGTTAAACAAATAAAAGATTAAATTACATAATGTACCCAAGGAAACAACTACTAAATGACAGAACCAGGACTCAAATCCAAGTTTCTCCATTGCGAAAGCCTGTAACTGCTGTCTCAGTGAAGCTAAAAATTAGATCTTTTCTTTATCTTGCCTGTGGGAATTCCTGGATCATAAAGATATCATGAATAGCTACATATCTACATACACACATATGTAAAGATAGTTTATCATGTGAATTTTCATATCTTTCAGGAATCTTCAATTCAACATGTACCTTCTTTAAAAACTTGCAAGGTAGTTAACATGTAATAATAATCTCTCCCAAATACCAGACTTTAAAGGAGCATGGTGTTTTTATTTGGTAGTCTTCCTGAATTGAATATTCATTGCATAGAAATTGATGTTATTTTGAGCTGTCAAAGACACTGTGAAAACTAAGTATATAAAAACTAAGAGTCTCTCAGGAAAAAGAAGAACTCACTTTAGTTTTAGCTTTTACTTCTTCACTGTCCCCTTCTCCATCATTGTGGGGTTCCATGCCAGACTCCTGCTGGGTATCTTTGCTTAGTACCGAGTACTCTTCTAGTAGAGTGTCAAACAAAACTATTCGCTTGTTCTTGAAGAAGCCATAAAAATAAGCATTGCTGTGGGAAGAGCGCTTAGATCCTAAGGAAAAGACAGTTCAAAGCACGTAATATAATTAAGAAGTCTGGGGTCCTTTGGAGAGACTCCTAGAAAACTACACTATTGGAAAGGACATTAACATTTTCAAACAGTTTAATATCTAAAGAAGAACTGAATCAATGGCCATGACCACCAGCAATGGAGAGTATCTGTTTTCCTCAATTCTTGCCAACAAATACTTATGCTCATTGCAGCCTTATAGCAACAAGTAAATGAGCTTAAATATCCAACTATGGTGGAATGATTAAATTATGACAAAGTTATGAAATGGAATTTTAATCAGCCAGAAAAAATTTATACTTTTCAAAGAATTTTAACAAGAAAAAAGCTCACCACTGTACTATAAAGGATACAAAACTTCATATATATAAGATTTAAGAAAAAAAGGTATGTGTAAACAGAAAAGCATAAACACAACCAGATGAAGAAATATATCAAAATATTTGTGTTTATTACTAGGTTCCAGTAACGAGTAAACTTTTGTTTCTTCCCTTTTGCTTTTCTTTCTTTTCTAAAGTTTTAAAAATAAGTGTACTTACTTCTGTAATCAGAAAAACATTAAAGCTATTTTTATAAAGACTAGCAGAAAACATGTCTAAATTTTTAATAGTGGCTAACAGTAGCTAAACTATGGTTGATTTTTATTTTCTTCCTTATATATTTCTTCAATTTTTACAAGTCCTTCAGCATACAGTGAGCTGAGTACAGTAATTAAGAGTACAGACTTTGGATTCAAATCTTGGCTGTGCCATGTATTAATTGTGTAAAGTTAGAAAACTTTTTTTAAGCTTTCTAGTTTCTTGTTTATGAAGCAAGACTAACATTTACCTCATGAGATACTCTAAGTAGAACAATTAATATACTGCCTGACTCATATAAACTACTGCATACTTTTTTTTTTAAATGAAGAAATGATAAAACATTTGTTTCTCTTGAAAACCTTAGGTCTCTTCAAGAAAATGTGAGTTTTGCATTTACTCATATTTCTGATGTAAAGTACTAGGCAATATGTTTATCTTTTTTTTTGTGGGACTGGGGTTTGAACTCAGGGCTTCATGTTTTTGGCAGTATATTTAGAAGATAGTAAAGCTTTGATAAATAGAAGCTATTATTTATTTACTGCATTATTATGTCACTTTTTGGTTTGGCTGCTTGTTAAAAAGAGATTCTGGAAGTACGTACTAAGTCAAAATTTCTAGGAGTGGAGGCCAGGAATGTCTTGAGTCTCTATACCAGACTGTCAGCTTGTAGTATATGTTGTGCCTGGCATGTAGTATATGTTGAATATGTAGTATTCTCTCGCAGTCTGGAGTTTAACTCAGGGCCTTGCACTTGGTAGGCAGTGCTCTACCACTTGAACCACGCCCCCAGTCCTTTTTGCTTTAGTTATTTTCAGATAGGGTCTTGCATTTTTGCCCAGGGTCAGTCTCAGACCATGATCTTTCTAGCTATGCCTCCAGTGCAGCTGATGACACCACCATTCCCCACTTATTGATCAAGATGGGGGTCTCGATACTTTTTTTTTGCCCAGCCTGGCCTTGAACTGTGATCCTCCTGATTTTCACCTCCCAAGTAGCTGGGATGTACAGGCATGAACTGCTGCACTCAGCTTTTCTTGGTTTTTGAGACATTACTTTCTCCTAGTCATCTTCCTACCTCAGTAGTCTCTCTTAGCCTCCTTTATTGGCTATGTCTCCAATTTCAACTCTAACTCTGGCCTAAGTGTCCTCATCCATGGCCTTAACCACCACCCAGGTACCAGGGACTTTCAAAGCTGTACTCCTAGACCTGACCTCTTCCTAGAACTCTAGGCTCACATATCCAACTGCCTGTTAGATATTTCCACATGGAAGTCTATAAATCTATTTGTTGTTTATATTCTTTTTTTTTTTTTGGAGGGTAGGGGGCAGGACTGGGGGGGTTGAACTCAGAGTCTCCTGCTTGTTAGGCAGGCACTCTACCACTTGAACCACTCTGCGAGCCCTGTAATTTTTTTTTTTTCTTAAAACTACTAAATTTAAATTTTATTCCCTTCACAGAAAACACTAGAGAAACTTCAAGCCAAAAATACATACTGATTTTCTACAAATACTGTCAAGGGTTTTTTGGTTTCATTTTGTTTTTGTGGGACTGGGTTTTAACTTGGAGCTTTGTGCTTGCAAAGCAGGCACTTACTAAGCAGCTGATCTACTGCTTAAGCCACAGCTCCAGTCCTATAAAGTTTTTTTAAATGTACTATTAGGCAACATTTTTAAAGTCAATAAATTTTTATTTAAGGAATTTCACAATTCTATTTCTGCCCATCAAAGTAAACTTAGCTTCTCCAAAGCAGAATTTCAAGATTAGGCATTTTTAAAAGAACTAATGCTCAACCCAGTTGTCCTATCATTCCACAATTCTTTTGTTTGGTTTTCTTGTATCTCCAACTTGAATTATGGACATGTGGATGTAAACTTCAAAATTCTTCATCCAAGATCTCTGGTATCTAATTTCTTCATGCAATTTACTTTCGGGTCACTTTAGGGCAGATGGATCTGCCTGCTACTCAACTGCTGCCATCTTCTAAGCACAAATGAGTTTAGATCATATTCATTTATGAGCTATCTATCACTTAGGAATACCCCCAGATCTAAGGGATATGCCAGTACCTAAGGTAAAAACAAATTATTAAGTCTTTCATACTTTTTGTTAGCTATTTTGTAGTTCCTTCCCACAGACCTAATAAATGGTCTTCTGAGTAAAGCAAAACCAGAGTTATGGTATGAGGTGTTTCCAACGAGGTGCGGCTAACAGTGGGATACACCTCAACTTGTTATTTATATTCTCATGTGTGCTTTTTTCCTGCCCACTATTGGAATCTCCTTTCAGAGTTCAGGGAATCTCACACCATGTAAATCTTGTGAGAGACTGCTTCTCATTTGGGAAATCTCAAAAGCCAGGTACTTCCTTCTCCAGCGCTCCTAGCAGCTAGCCCCGAGCCCTAGCTTAGTCAGTCAGATGCATCTACTGGCAACTCTGAATAATCAGCCAATTACACAAAGAAGCAAAGCAGTCAAGAATTAATTCTATAAATGCCTGTGACACAAATGCTAGGAATACGAACACCTGAATCCTGTGTCCTTCAGTGGCAATAGCAGTGTCTTCCCTGAAGTGGGTCCTCCCTATAATTCTGAGTTCCTAACCTTCCTATGTAAATGGTTCATGTTCTAAGGCTGGTAAACTTAATTTTCTGGAGATTTTGTGAGCTATCAAATGTTTCAATAAGGAATTTTTCTGCTTAAATCAGACACTGTTACTATTGCTCACAGAACTGTAATGAATACATTGTTGAAAAGATTTCTCAGTATGTAACATAGTCATTAATACTTTTTATGGTAGTACTACGGATTGAACTCAGGGTCTTGTGCTTGCTAGGCAGGCACTCTGCCAGGTCCCCAGCCCCATTAGAACTCTTTAATTCTCCACAAAGGTGTTCCTGGCTTTTTCCCTTTCGATAAACTATCTAATTGCCTAGGTCAAAAATCTAAGCCGATAACTTGGTATCTCTTACTTCCCCACATGCAATCTATTAGCAGATCACATCAACTCTAGCTCTCAAACCCATGACAAATGCATCCAATTCTCCCCATCAACTACTACTGCCCTAGTCTAAGGAGCCATTATTCCCCATCTAACTACTCAGATTCCACGCTTGCTTCTCCCTAGAATGCATTCTCCATACAGCAGCCCATGACAGTTAAAAAATATAAGCCAGACCAAATCATTTCTCTGCCTAAAGCCCTCAATGGCTTTTTCTTCTGAACTTAAAATCTAAACTACTTACCCTGGCTTTCAAAGGCCTACATGGTCTGACACCTGTCTACGTCTCAGATTTCATTGCATAAAACGCTCTTGTTTTGCTGCAGCCACACTGGACTTCGTGGTCCTTGAAGAAACCAAGCTTGAGGTCTTCCCATTGATCTCAACATGGATGGCACATATCTTTAGGGCTTAGCTTAACAGTCATTTCCTCAGAAAGGTCCTTTCTGATGGCCCAATTTAAAACTCTCTTGTTTTGTTGCAGCCACACTGGACTTCGTGGTCCTTGAAGAAACCAAGCTTGAGGTCTTCCCATTGATCTCAACGTGGATGGCACATATCTTTAGGGCTTAGCTTAATAGTCATTTCCTCAGAAAGGTCCTTTCTGCTGGCCCAATTTAAAGTACCTAGAGTCATCCTCTATCACATCACACAAGTTTAATTCTCTGCACAGTACATGTTATTTGATGTTGTTTTGAGAGCAGGATTCTCAGCTTCTTACAATAGCCCTGCCAATTTATAAATTTCTAATGTGTGGTTGTACTGCTAGTAACAACATTCATCAACAACATTCATTCAAAAAAAATTTTTTTGTGTGGTACTGGGGTTTGAACTCAGGGCTTTGTGCTTGCTAAGCAGGTGCTCTACCACTTAAGCCACACCTCCAGCCCTCATGCAATATTTTTCAAGATTGCTACTATTGCTAACATAAAAATATACTTTACAGATGAGCAAACTGCTATTTAGCAATTGCCCAAAGTCACAAAAGTAATTCACGATAGAGCTATGATTTAAGCCCAAGCCTATTGACTCCAAAACCTGACCTCAGAAATGCTATCTCCAACCTGCTCAAATCGTGATTTTCCATAGTCCTAGTTCATGTCATAACACCCCATATAGCCTTCCCTAACTACCTTATCTAAAATGGAAATAGCATTGATAATTATGTATCACAAATGTTACTGATTACTTCCACAGTCATATCATTATGAACAGCAACTTAGGAATTCCCTTCAGTAAAAGCTCCTAAGAGATCGTTCTACTAAACTTATTAGTGTGCTACTAATTGAATACTACAAAAAACACGGTAAAGTCAGTATGATGTGGCTTATTCTTATCATTTCCCCAAAGAATCTTAAGCTTTTCCAATTGTGCTGTATAGCCTCACAAGCCATTAAATGTCTGAGATTTCTATACTCTTCTAGTTACTGTTAGTTCATTCTTTTCAGTTGTGATCATTTTTGTTCTACCCTCTGCAATTGCTTCTACATTTCTTCTACTCCTTCATATAACAAAGCTGCTTCTCACTGGTGATATTTTATTTTAAAGCAGGCATTATCAAACTATGGGCTTGCAGACCAAATTCAACCTGCTGCTTATTTGTATGAAGTTTTATTGGAACACAGCCATGTTCATGCGTTTATGCATTGTCTACAGTGCTTTTGCACTGTAAGGGCAGAGTTGCATAATTGCAAATGTGCCCAAAAAGTCTGAATGCTTAATATACAGCTTTTTACAGAAAACTGTAGCCTAGAGAAAGTACAGATGAAACCTAGAGGGATAAAGTGATTTATCAAAGATCCCACAGCTGGTAAGTTAAGGAGGCAAAATCAGTTATATTCATTTTATATGAATTTTAATTTATAAATTCTGAACATCATGGAACCTTACAAAAGAGTTTTTCTCTATAGTTTTGTAGACTCACTTAAGACTTCAGAAGTTTTACACAAGTAAATAGAAAATTTAACTTTAAAAGGCAATCATCAGAAAAGCAAGAGCTTAAACTAATCTGAAATACCTGATGGTATACCATTTTTGATAATGTACAGGTTAAACAGAGTTCTCCAAAACACTGGATAGCTTGTTGGAGGAGACAAAGCCAATAACATTGGTTTTGTTTTAGAACCTTTAAACTAGTGCTATCTGGAATCTGACTATTCAAGAGTCCGATTCAATTACCTAAAGGAGCTAAGTAGGTAACAGTCTACTACCTAACACAGTATAACAGAGTGAAAAAAGGCCTTGGCCAAAGATTAAAAACAATCCTGTAAAGCTAATAAAACAGAGCTGTAAGGAAGGAAAGGGTTTGGTGCCAGGCCACCACTTTATCCCCAGACTATGTCATCAATTCCTATAAATCTTAAAAAGCCAAAATGCAAAATCCTATCCTAATCTTTAAGTAACAAGTTAAATAAACAATAAAAATTGACTTGTTTATTAAAAATTTAATAAAGAACTCAAAACAAATCACTCTACATGAAACCTTCTTAACCCCAGGTAGCCTTACCTTCAACAACATACACCTTAGTCAAAGGAAAGTCAATATTCTTTGCCATTACTTCAATTTCTTGTTTAAGCTTTCCTTCAGGCAGAGGTGTGAATTTGTCAAATAAAGGAGCAATATAATCAGCATAGATTGTGACAAGGACCTGAGAAGTAAATGACAGAACAAATGATTATGTTCTCAAAGAAAAAGTACTCATTAAAACATGAAAGAAAAGAAAAATTACTAATTATTAAATAGATTTAATTATATTGAAACAATTATGTCCACACCAAACTTGAGGACAGGAAATTTATCTGTTCTGGTATTCTCAGACCCAATTATCCGAGACAGTAAGAGCACAATATCTGTTTGATTAATTAAATCAAAGTAGAATCCGATTATCACAGCAAATCTGTCAATTTTATTTTAGAAGGTAATGCTACTAACAGTGAGTGAAATCAAAGGATGGTAATAAACAGTCCTTCCAAAACTATCTTAGGAATTTCTGCTACTTCATAAGCCAATCATAACATGAACTTCTGTTTCTCAGTAATTTTTATTTATTTATTTATTTTTTTGGTGGGACTGGGGTTTGAACTCAGTGCTTCACATTTGCAAATCAGGGACTCTACCACTTGGACCACAGCTCCAGTCCATTTTGCTCTGGTTATTTTGGACATAGGTCTATCCTCCTGATCTCAGTCTTCCAAGAAGCTAGAATTACAGGTGTGAGCCATTGGTTCCCAACTCAGAGTAATCTTGATACACGTGAAGTCTTTGCTAAACAATCATCACAAGAGCTTGACTGTGTCTTTTTATTACAACTGTCTAATATGTGGTTTGCTCTTCTGCTAAAATTAATCCTATAGTTCATAACATACAGTTTGGTTGAAACAGCACTTCCTTAGGCATTTCTGGAGTATTTCCTCAGCTCCATTTCCTCTAATCTCAGTTAGTCATACAATAAATATCCAACTAGCATCCATTTTCTGATCTTAATAATCCCCCTGGTGGAAAGTAAAGCTATGAACATCACATAATTCAGATTAAAATAAACAATATCAGTGGAGTTGAAGAGTTGATATTTTTGGGGGACTGTGAAGAGACTACTTGTTGTGCTACAGTATGTGTGCTGTGAAGTAGTTTAGAAGATGAGAGGGAAAAAAGGAAAAGAAGATATGAGGGGAGAAAAACTGAGGGGAAGGGAGGTGAGAGGAAAAGGAAATGGGAAGGAAGAGAAAGAAGGAGTTAGCAGTGGGGGGAGGGAAAGAAAAGTGAAGAGGAAAGAAGGAAAGGAAGGAGAATGGATAAAAGGAGGAAGCGGTAGAGAACAGAGAAGGGGTAAAAAGCAGGGAGAGGGAGCTATGTACTACTTGGAAGGTCAAGATCAGGAGCATCTAAGTTTGAGCCCAGCCCAGGCAAAAACTCAGTGAGATTCCACCTCAACAAACAAGCTGGGCATGGTGGTATGAATTTGTAATCCCAACTAGGCAGAGACCATAGGTAGGAAGATCAGGTCATAAGCCTGCAGGGCAAAAAATGAGAAAATGCATGACCCTATCCAAAAAATAAGGCAAAAAAAGACTGAGGGCATGGCTCAAGGGTAGAGAACCTGCATAGAAAGGGCGAGGCCCTGATTCAAATCCCAGTACTATCAAAAAAAAAAAAAAAAGAAAGAAAGAAAGAAAGAAAAGAATAGGAAAAAAAAATGAGAAGGGAAGGCAGAAAGAAGAGGAAGGGGAAAAAAGTCAGGTAAGTATATGCTTTTTTCATGTCCCTCTTAAGTCTGGCACTGGGGGGTCAGTCAAGAGTCATAAATTATCACACTTAAGTCATTCATTGTAGTGCAAACTCACAAATGCACAGCTCCAAACTGCCTGGAAACTAGATCATTAAAAGTGACCAGCAACTAGCTTCTAGCATCTGTAAGAGTCAGCATAAAGAGAAGAAAATTTATGCTTAGTCAATTCTCTTATTTCTATATCCAAAAGCAGACACCAACAGGTAAGTTTTTATGAGCACATATTTATATTTCATCCTCCTCTTAAGAACTGTTTACATGGTAATAAAAACTAAGTCAAGTAATCCCATCAATAAACTTTGGTAAAAGAATATGAAATAGATTTTACTCACCAGAGAGACAACTAATGTGAACAGCCAGGCATAAATAAAAAAATAGTCACCCCCAATTTTAATAATGTAAAGCAGAAGTGAAGACACAGGCAATAAAATACACTGGGTCACAGTAAATTTTTTGATTGCATCTTTCATAAAAAACTCCAAAGTCTGAAAAAAAGAAAATATCACCATTATAAACTGAGGAACTGGTTTTACTTTTAAAGTAAATGGTAAGTAAATACAAAGAATATAATTATTAAAACAATTTTAAGAATTAACAATGAGACTGTGTTATGATACTAAGCAGCCTAAAACAGTGCCTTGAATTTTATAGTTTAAATTCATTTAAATACCACCCGTTAGAATAGCTATCATTAGCAACACCACTAACAACAGGTGTTGGCGAGAATGCAGGTGGGGGGGCGGGAAGAACCCTCTTACACTGCTGGTGGGAATGTAAACTAGTACAACCACTCTGAAAAAAAATTTGGAGGCTACTTAAACATCTAAACATTGATCTACCATATGATCCAGAAATACCACTCTTGGGGATATACCTAAAAGACTGTGACACAGGTTACTCCAGAGGCACCTGCACACCTATGTTGATTACAGCACTATTCACAATAGCCAAGTTATAGAAACAGCCAAGATGCCCCACTACTGACGAAGGGATTAAGAAAATGTGGTATTTTATGCAGCCATGAAGAAGAATGAAATGTTATCATTTGCTGGTAAATGGATAGAATTGGAGAATATCATTCTGAGTGAGGTTAGCCTGGCCCAAAAGACCAAAAATCGTGTTCTCCCTCATGCGGACATTAGATCAAGGGCAAACACAAGAAGGGGACTGGACTTTGATCACATAATAAAGTGAGAGCACACAAGGGAAGTATGAAGATAGGTAAGACACCCAAAAAACTAGATAGCATTTGTTGCCCTCAACACAGAGAAACTAAAGCAGATACTTTAAAGCAACTGAGGCCAATAGGAGAAGGGGACCAGGAACTAGAGACAAGGTTAGATCAAAAAGAATTAACCTAGAAGGTAACACACACGCACAGAAAACTAATGTGAGTCAACTCCCTGTATAGCTATCCTTATCTCAACTAGCAAAAACCCTTGGTCCTTATTATTGCTTATACTTTCTCCTCAACAAAATTAGAGATAAGGGCAAAATAGTTTCTACCAGGTAGCGAGGGGTAAGGGGGTGTAAGGGGGGGGGTAAGGGAGGGGGCAGGGGGAAGGGGGAAGAAATGACCCAAACATTGTATTCACATATGAATAAAATAAAAATTAAAAAAAAATGTATACATGTAAAAAAAAATTCATTTAAATATTATTAGTTGAAAAAGCATTAAACATTAGTGCTCAAAGAGTTTATAGCAAGACTTTAAACTATGACCTTTACCATATTGTAGTTCCTTTTTTTCTCAGTTAATTCATGTTTTAAAATAGTTAATTATATATAAATTATTACCAGCACAGGATGAAAACACAGAAAATCTCACTTCAAAAAATTAGGAGGGCTAGAGTATAGCTCAACTGATATACTGCTTGCTTAGCATGTATGAGATGCTGAGTTCAATTTCCCAGCACCGGAAAAAAAAAATTATCTACTATACCTGATGATTGAAGCCATGTTTTTCTTCTATCACAAATGTATTATAAAGACTCCATGGCAAACCAGTCAATGCACTGAAAAGTGTAGCCAACAGCAGAAACACCAAGGACTGAGTGATCTAAGCACAAGAAGAAAAAAATGGCAGTTTTTATGGTGCAATATAATTCATTTTTCAAATGAACTACATGGGAACAAATAGATCAGCATTTGCAAATATTTATTCTATATCAAGCAATATGCTTGATCCTGTAGATAATGCAAGGTCTGTAGTATTATCCCTACCCTCAGAAAAAGTTCATTTGCTAGAGAAGGAGTAGAAGAAGAAAAACATAATTCCTCTTTTATTACCTAAAGTCATACACACAAAATGCTTAAAAGAAAGCAGAAAATACAGCAACATTTGCTAGCGAATTCAAAAGCGGGCTTCAGAGTTGATGAGACTCTGGAGAGAAAGAGAGAAATTTCTGGGATAGGAAAGAAAGAAAGGAGGAGGAATTTCAAGAAATTTGCAGTAGTACAGAGACAGAAAACAGTACCCAATGTGTGGTACTGACTAGCCAGTTTAGGACCAGGAAGAGAAACTGGAAATGTAAGCTGAATGCGGTGGCATACTAGGGAGGCAAAGGCAGGAGGGTAGAATTCAGGGTCAGTCTGGGCTACACAGTGAGGCCCTGGCTCCAAAAGAAATGAAAGAGCCCGGTGCTGGTGGCTCACACCTATAATCCTAACTACTCAGGAGGCAGAGATCAGGAGGATCATGGTTAGAAGCCAACCCGGGCAAATAGTTCTGCAAGACCCTATCTCGAAAAAAACCCATCACAAAAAAAGGCTGGTGGAGTAGCTCAAAGTGTAGGCCCTGAGTTCAAGCCCCAGTACACAACAACAACAACAAAAGAAACTCATAATGGAGACTCAAAAAAGCTATCTGGGCAGATGGAAGTAGGGTGTGCCAAAATCCAATAGGGACCCTATTTAAATGGGTCCTTAGAAGATCAAAAGCCAAGAATTGTCTGGTTTCTCTTTAAAAACTTTTTTCTAGGACAATGAAAGACAAGGTCTAATACTTCAAGGGAAATGTGGAGGAGGGGAAAAGGGCAATGATGCAAACAAGAATCTTTTCACTCTTCCCCTTACCATCTTGCCACTATCTCTTTCACTCCCCAGAGTAAAACTGAATTCTTTTAAGGTGAAAGTGAGTATACCAGGCACTATCAAGGTATATTTGATGTGGAAGCGAAGATGTGGTCAATATAAGTTTCTAAACATAGGAAGAAGAAAGAGAAGGGGAAGGAAGACATGGAGGGTGATTTATTCCAGTATTTGTTCCCAAATAGGAAAAATAATCTCTAGAACCTTGCTCAAAACTAGTGAATCAAAATATCTTTCAAAAATGCAACCAGACCATACAGATTTGCAACCAGACCACACAGATTTATTTGCATCTGTTTTTCTTGCCTTTAACACATTAGGAACATCTTTAGTTAACAACACACATTGTTAATGTATATTGTGTTACACTGCTAATGGCTTAAGAGTATTCCATTATATATCTGTGGACCCTTAAGACTATTTCCATTATAGCATTGATCTTAAAGCTATAATGAACCTCTACAGACATGAAATGACTGGTGTCAAAGGATACGAACTTTTTTTCCCCCAGTACTGGGCCTACACCTTGAGCCACTCCACCAGCCCTTTTTGTGACAAGTTTTTTTTCAAGATGGTCTCACGAACTATTTGTCTGGGCTGGCTTTGAACCATGATCCTCCTGACCTCTACCCACTGAGTAGCCAGGATTACAGGTGTGAGCCACCAACCCAATGAATATGAACTTTTTAAAGCTCTATTTTTTTTTTTTTGTATTTTAGCAATCTTCCACCTCACCCTCTTGAGTACCTGGGACATAAAGGTTTTTGATACACACTGCCAAGGTGTCCTCAAGAAGAACTGTACTAATTTTCAATCTGCCAGCAGCATGAAATTATTTCCCTATCCCTCACCAATTCTGTCCTATCATTCTTCCCTCCCCCAATCTGACCTGAGAGGCAAAAACAAAAAACATAAAAATTCTAGTAATTCATTATTGTTTTAAAATATGTATTTCTCGGTAGGGATGTAGCTCAGTGGTAGATCTTTTATCTACCATGCACAAACCCATAGGTTCGCTCCCCAGTAGTACTAAAGTAAATAAATAAATTTCTGCCAGTACAGATTTATGTCATTATAACAATCGCATAATGAATTTCTGCCTTTGTAGATTTGTTATTGCCCATTTTTCTAAGATACTCACCTTCATCTAAAGTACGACTTCTATAAAGAATTCTTTCTAAGGCAAGTGCCAGTGGCTCACACATGTAATACTAGCTACTCAGGAGTCAGAGATTAAAAGGATCAAGGTTCAAAGCCAGCCCCTGGCAAATAGTCCTCTAAACCCTATCTTGAAAAAACCTACCACAAAAAACTGGAGTGACTTAAAACAGTAAGAGCACCTGCCTAGCAAGCATAAGGCCCTGAGTTTAAACCCCAGTGCTGCCAAAAAACAAATTCTTTTTATATTAAGCTATGGTTTTATTTTTTGTTTTTTGGTAATGGCACTGGGATTTGAACTCAAGGCCTCGTGTTTCCTAGGCAAATACTTTATCAGTTGAGCCATACTCCAGGACCACCCCCCTCTTTTTTTTTTCAAGTGGCACTACAGTTTGAACTCAGAGCCTCATGCTTGCTAGGCAGGTGCTCTTACTACTTGAATTCCTCCACCAGCCTTTTTTTGTGATGGTTTTTTTGATAGAGTCTTCTGGAACTATATACCTTGAATCCTCCTGACCTCTGCCTCCTGAGCAGCTAGAATTATGGGTGTGGGCCACCGGCACCTGGCCCCATTTTTTTAAATTATTATTGTTGTACTGGGGGTAAACTGACATTTACCAAAGTTCTCACAATATATCATAATTGAATTCACCCCCTCCATCATTCTCCTTTATCTCCCTCCAGCTCTTTTTGCTTTAAGTTATTTTTTAAATAGGATCTCTTATTTTTTTAAACATTATGTCCAATTAATTTTTAATTTTTTTTTGGCAGAACCGAAGTCTGAAGTCAGGGCCTCACTCTTGTTAGGCAGGCACGTTAACATGTGAGCCACACACCCAGCCCAATCTCATGCTTTTTTGGGGTTGAAAGCAGGGCTGGCCTTGACTACAATTCTATTATGTGCTCCCCCGTCTCCTCCCACCCCAGTAGCTGGAAACACCAAATATGCCCAAATCTGTTTGTTGAAATGGGGGGTGGTTTCCTTACTATTTTTTTTTTTTTTTTGCCCCAAATTGCCTTGAATCTTGTTTTTCCTAATCTCCACCTTTCAGGTAGCTGGGATTGGCACCTCACCTGGCCAAATTATTAATTTTTAAACAGTCACATGTGGCAATTGCCCTCTGGTTTATAATGTGCGTTTTAAGTTTGCTAATACCAGTTTTTCCATACAGAAATTTAAAATATAAACCTATTAAATTTTATCTTCATGGTTTCTACCTTTGGTGTCAAGTATTTAAAAAGTGAGATATTAAAAATGCATAGTTTGTTTTCATCCTAGTACATTCAAGGCTCATTTATATTTAAATATTCAATTCATCTAAAACTTTACTTTTCTGGTAGGAATTTATATTTACTTAATTGTCCTAAGAAAAGTAATCATTTATACCTTTCTCACTGAACTGCCACCCAAGATCTTACAAATATTTAGGCCTATTTTGTGTACTAACTGAATGTAGAAGTACTGCTCGTTATTTATTCAAAATTTTTCTGGCTGTTCCTTTTATCTTTAATCTTTCAGATTAACTATAAAATGTTTTCTGGGAATGTAATTAAGCTCCATTCTTGTTTTAAAAGTCCATAAATCTCTTCTTTAATAATGTATTACACCAGGCACCAGTGGCTCATGCCTATAATCCTAGTTACTCAGGAGGCAGAGATCAGGAGGATCACAGTTCAAAGCCAGGTGGAAAGACCCTAACTCAAAAAAACCCATCACAAAAAAGTGCTGGTGGAGTGGCTCAAGGTGTAGGCCCAGTACTAAAAAAAATATATATATATATTACATATTTGTTGTTACTGTTGGTACTAGGTTTGAACTCAGGCCTTTTGCTTAACTAGATAGGTGCTCTACCACTTGAGCCACTCAGCAAGCCCTTTTTTGTTTTGGGCATTTTTGAGACAGGGTCTCAAGAACTATTTGCCTGGCCTGGCTTCAAATTGCAATCATCCTGCTCTCTGTCTCTCGACTAGCTAGGATTACAGGCATGAGCCACTGGCGCCTAGCTGCCTTACATAATTTTGGTAAGGTACTGATACCAAGTTTAACATTATGCCATAGAGCCTACCATCTTTACTTTTGAAAATCTAGGGGCTGAGCATAGTGCATGCCTATTAATTCCAGTACTTAGGAGGTAGAAATAGGGGGAGTATTTTCTGCAGTCCCAGGAAGGCTGGGCAAAAGTGTGAGACCATAGATGAAAAACAAACTAAAAGCAAGAGAACTGAGGGTGTGGCTCAAGTGGTAGAGCAACTGAAATCCTGAGTTCAATCCCCACTACTGCTCCCTTCCCCAAAAAGAAAGAAAATCCAGTTGCTCTGCTTACTAGTCTTCTGAAACATCCCACATTTTCCCAAGTTTATTAATATATGCCAGAGTTCAAGCTCCTTCTGCATATTATGAAAATTATTTGTGTGAGTCTTGAATTAATTTAAAACAACTTGATTACTTCTTTTATTTTTGTTTTCTATTTTCTAAAGACAGGGTCTCAATATGTAGCCCAGGCTGGCCTTGAGCTCACATCCTCCTTTTTCTTGGCAGTACTGGGGTTTGAACTCAGGACTTCATGTTTGCTAGGCACGTGCTCTACCACTTGAGCAACACCATCACTAACAGACCAGTGTGAGTTAGAATTTCAAAATGTCATTAAGGAAAAATATTCCAGCTACAAAAAAGGAAAGTGAAAGAAAGGTTTCCAAACCAACCCAGAAAGGAGAAAATATTCTAGAAAATATCCTAGAAATAAGGCCTGCTGAGAAGTGAGAGAAAGAGTTGTAAACCATTGCTTCTCAAAGGCAACAAGACCTGGGCTCTATCCCTGTAAGTGAACACTTCTAGGCTCCAGGACACTGAACATTATAAAGCCTGCAACATGTTAGGAGTCAAAGGCTCAACTTTGTAATCCTAGCTACTTGGGAGGCTGTGATCAGGAGGATCGAGGTTTGAGGCCAGCTTAGGTAAGAGACTATGAGACCCCCATCTCCAAAATAACTGGAGCAAAATGGACTAGAGGTGTGGCTCAAGTGGTAGAGTGCCTGCTTTGTAAGCATGAAGTCCTGAGTTGAAACTCTGGTTCCACCAAAATAAATAAATAAATAAAGTCCTACACCATGAAGTTGGGAATGACTCAGACTAATACATCTTGAATAATGGTATTATTCATTCCTTATCTGAGATGAGCTTATTCATTCCATCTCATATGCTGGATATGGAAGAGAATTCCCAAGCACTCTGAGTCGTTAGGGCCATCACTTACTTGCTAAGAAGGGCTAGGCCGTATCTCACAGCCCAAAACTAAGGACACTGATTATGAGACCTCTTGGTAGTTTGGAAAAGCAAGAAGTTCTGCCAAACAAAGTAAATGGCAACATCTAGGATAAGCTAAAGTTCACCTTCTATTTTTTTTGAGACAGGTCTGCTATGTAGCCCAGACTGGCCTGGAACTCATAAGCCTCCTACCTCAGTCTCCGAAGTGCTAGGATGACGTGAGTGTACCACTGTGCCCAGCTCAATCATTCACTTTTATAAAATATCATATGGGGTTTATGGAAGAGAAAATGGCATTATACTTTGAATAACTGATATGCAGTAAACAATCAACCAATCACTGATAAAGACTTTGAAAAAAACTGAAATGACTAGTTATTAATTACTATTAGCATTTGATATTTACATAGTGCTCTTAAGACTAAACAGCTAGTAGTGAAGTTTGTACTTTATGTAATTTCTCACATGATATACTATAGTAATTGAAATGTGAGCCATATGGTTGAAAGACTGGTATTATTTTAGTAAAATGTGATAACTGAAATTTGTATATATGAAATTTGTATATAAAACTACACAAAACAAGGACTGCTAATGCCATGCAGCGTTAAAGAAAACAAAGGCCTACATAAACTGACAGGTAAATATCTCTAAAACATTGATAATACAAAAATCATGCCTCATGGGTTGGCAGAGTAGCTCAAGCAATAACAGTGCCTGCCCAGCAAGCGCGAGGCCCTAAGAGGCCTTGAGTCCAGACCCCAGTTCTGCTGTCAGAAAAAAAAAATCATGCCTCAGAACATCAGAATGGGATAAAATATCCCATTGAAATAAAGAATATTTTTTATAGGATATGTATAGAGATTGTTTTCACTTATTTTACAAAATATAACTACTCCGTAACTAGCACTGTTCTAAATACTGGTGATGTAGCAGAAAAGAAAATGCAATCTCTGTCTCCTTAGAGTTTAAAATTCTTGTCAGGAAGATAGATGAAAAATAAGCAAGTAAGTAAAATGAGATAGTTATAGTGCTTTTATTTAAAAAAAGAAAAAACAAAAAAAAGGTGATGTACTTCACTGAACAGTGACAGAGGTAGCACACGTTTATAATCCCAGCACTCAGGAGGTTGAGTCTCAAAACAAACAAATAAAAAAAAGGCAAGGCACAGTGGCTCAACCTGTAATCCCAGATATTCCAGAGCTAGAGATCAAGAGTTTGAAGTCAGCTTGGGCAAAAAAATTAGTGAGCTGCATTTCAACAAATAAGCTGTGCATGGTGGCACAAGCCTATCATCCCTGCACATGGGAGGTGTTAAGTAGGAAGCTGATCAAACCCCATGCTGCCAAAAAAAAAAAAAAAAAAAAGAATGTAAGTAGGAAGTTGGTCGAGGCCAGTCTGAGCAAAAACACAAAGACACTATCTAAAAAATAACTAAAAACAAAAATATCTGGGGGTATGGTTCAAGTGGTAGACTGCTTAGCAAGAGCAAGGCCCTGGGTTCAAAATAACAACAAAAAAACTCAGCCTATGGAGACACAGAGACTGCACTGGAAGAAGAGGTCTTAAGAGTCTAGCTGCTTTAGAAAAGGGCACGTAGAAAAGGGCATGCAGAAAAGGGACACAGGGTGAGCAGTTAAAGCCCAGTGGACCTATACACATTGGAGGTCCATTATTCCAAGTAAACAATCAGGAAGGAGGTAAAGACTTGGCAATGTCCAAGGAAAAAGTCAGGAAGTAGTGCTATAGAATACATTACAGATGGGAAGTCTCAAGTTTGACACCATTTAGTAACTGGAATTCCTGAAAGAGTAGATGGTCAATTCAAGCCATTCAATGGAGACTCTAGAAGACGAGGTTTTCTGTCCTTGCTGATATCTGCTAAATGTTTCTGAACAAAGTACCTGTTTAGTGTGGGTTCAACAAAATTCATGCTTCCCCTTTTACTGTACAGTTGTTCCTAAGAAGCAGATGCCTAATTAGAAACTGTATGTCCCAGCTCCCTTCCATCTGTAAGATCAAATGACTGGTTCATCAATGAAATGTGAATCCAAGGAGTCTTTGCTTCCTGTTTCTTGCATGAGGAACAGGAATTGTTTCTCTTTCTTTTTCTCCCTCCCCAACTCCCATCTATATTTTATCCTGTTATACTAAAATAAATCCCTGCTAAAACTTACAAAAAAAAAGCAATGCAAATACAAAAAATTTTGGAGATAGAGCCCTCGATGACAAACCCCTAAAACAAAAAGAGACCAGCTCCCTGGCTTACCAGGCAGAACAGTACTTTGCTAATTAAAAACACTCACACCAAGCTGGCACTGGTGGCTCATGCCTGTAATCTTAGCTACTTAGGAAGCAGAGATCAGGAGGATTGAGTTTAGAAGCCAGCCCCAGGCAAATAGTTTGAGACCCTATCCTGAAAAAAAACCATCACAAAAAAGGGCTGGTAGAGTGGCTCACACAGTAAGAGTGCCCGCCTAGCAAGCATAAGACCCTGAGTTCAAACCCCAGGGAGAGACACAGACACACAGACACACAGACACACACACACACACACACACACACACACACACACACACACACCACCCCCCCCCCCCCCCCCAACTCATACCAGGGCTGAAGATGTAGTTCGGCAGTAGTGTGTGTGTCTAGCATGTACGAGGCCCTGGATTCAATCTCTAGTACCACAAAACCAAACAACCAAACACAAAAACCCTAACACTAGGCTATTATGTGATTGAGAAATAAACTTACAATAAGCACTGAAATTTGGGGGTTTGTTATAATAAATATCATTATCTTAACACATGGGCAGACAAGGATTGGGCAGACAGAGAAGCAAGATGAATGATGGTGGGAGCTAAAAAGTTAATTTTAATATAAAGCTTGCCAAGCAAAAAAAAAAAAAAGACTCTGATCAATGTATGGTAATGAATACATACCTCATATTCTGGTCCAAAGCCAACATAATCACAGAATCGCCCAGAAAGTCTCCAGAGGTAAGGGATTCCTCCAAATAGAAGAATAAACTATAAAACAAAGCATACATTGGTCACATTTGAACACTACTAGAAACTATCATCTGAAAGAGTATGCAATTAAAAAAAAAAGGAAAAAAATAATTTATAGGGTGAAAAAAAAGACCTATCTTATTAGGGATAAAATACGCATTTAGAAGAATATAAACCATTGAGATACTATTAAAACGTTTTTGCCTAAATACTTTATATGGGTGAATTATATGGTATGTGACTTGTATCTCAATAAAGCTGTTTTAAAAAACAAACCCAGAGGCCTCAGTCACTTGAGGAAGCTAAATAAATTAATCTAATAAAAGAAAGCAGAATAGTGGTCACTAGAGACTGGGAGGGGATGAAGGGAAGACTGGACATAGGTTAAATAACAAACACCAAAATACAATTAGGTAGGAGGAATTAGCTCAGGTATTCTATAGAAGGACAGGGTAACTACAGTGTATAACCATTCATTCATTCATTTATTTATAGTGCTGAGGTTTAAACTCAGGGCCTCACACTTGCTAGGTAGGCACTCTACCACCAGCCCTTTTTTGAGCCATTCCACCAGCCCTTTTTTGTGATGGGTTTTTTCAAGATAGGGTCTCAAACTATTTGTTTGGGGCTGGCTTCTAACCTCAATCCTCCTGATCTGTGCTTCCTGAGTAGCTAAGATTACAGGCATGAACCACCAGTGCAGGTTTCTTATGCCTGGGACTGGCTTTGAACCTTGATTCTCCTGATCTCTGCCTCCCAAGTAGCTAGGATTACAGCTGTGAGCCACTGGCTCCAGGTATAACAATTTATGATATATTTTTAAGTAACTATTAAGAGTCCAAAGGTTTCTCACATAGAAATGATAAATATTTGAGACAGAAATTATAATTACTCTGATTTGATCATTATAGATTATATACATGTACTGAATTATCATACAATACCCCATAAATATGTATAAACATTATGTGCCAATTAAAAATAAATAAGGGAGAAGGAGAAAGTCATAGAATGGTATTCTTTTGCATAATAGGATGACTAGAATTAATAATAATGTATATTTCAAAATAGATAAAAGAAAGGTTTTTCAGTGTTCTCATCACAAAAAATGGTATTTATGGTTATAGACAAACTAATTATCCTGATATGATCCTTATACAATGTATATATGTATCAAAATAGTACACTGAAATTAAAAAAAAAAAATCACATTGTACCCTAATTTGACAACATTATGTGTTAATCATAAGTGGTCTAACAATTTTTTGTTTGTTTTTGGCAATACTGGGGGTTGAACTCAGGGTCTAACATTTGTTAGGCAGGTACTCTACAACTTGAGCCACACACCCAGTTCAAATAAAATATGTAAATAAAAAATTTTACTAAGTGACCACAATAAAATTTTATGAATCAGAAACTAAGCTCAGAAAGGTTAAGCAACTTGTCCAAAATCCCACAGCTAATGAATAATAGAGATGGAATCTGAGCCATACTGTATGACTTCATACCCAATCTTTTCCATGAAAGGAAACTGTCCTTTTCAGATAGGACAAAGTATTAGGGCTTTTTTGGTGGTTTGAAACAAGGTCTTGTTATGTTGCCCAGGCTGATCTTGAATGCATGGACTCAAATGATCCTCTTAGCTCAGCCTCCTGTATATCTGGGCAATATGTGTGACCTACCAAGGTTGGCTAAACTATTAGTGTTGATATAGAAGTGGAGTCATGTCTACTTACCAAATTATAGGAAAGAATGGGGTACCTGTTTCATTCTCTATGTTAGGAAAAGATAAATTCTGAGGTGGGAGTCAGGGTTTCCTTCAGTACCACTCTTTTGTCTTGGGCAGATAAAGTGAACACATACATTCACCAAATCTCCACAACATTAGGAACCAGGAAGTAGCTCAACATGTGAAAAGAATGCATGTGTAAGAAACTCTACTTCCAGGGCTAGATATGAGGTAAAGTGCTTTGCTCAGCAAGCAAGAGGCCCTGGATTTGATCCCCAGCACACCTCCACCCCCACACCAAAAAAAAAAAAGTTTAATAGTAATTCTGTAGAACTCATTTTGCTCTGTAATCCAGGCTGGACTCAAAATGGCGATCCCCCAGTCTCTACTTCCCAAATGCTAGGATTACAAGTTTGTGCCATCTTTTAGATTTTTCCCAGTATGTTGGATTGGTTTAATATTATAGGTCTCAAATATGGTTTCTGGACAGAAGCAGCAGCATCTAGGAATGTGTCAAAAATGAAAAATTCTCAGACCCAACCTATACCTACGGAATCAGACACTGCAAATGGAGCCCAGCAGTCTCCAGGTGAATCTGATAAGATACTAACATTTAAAAAATCATTGTTTAAATAAATTGCCTTTCTAAAGGCTCTGCCTAACTCTATGTTCAGGCATTTTCACTTTACTACAATTAACTCAATCTCAGGTGTAAATAAACTTGTTCCCAGTAGACAATCTATGGCACCACTCTCTGGCATATGCTCCAGTTGTTGAGCCAACTGACCTGGGATGGCATTTCTTTCATCCCATTCCCAATACTAATAAATAAGGTAGAAATAAGGATTTATAATGTTTTTGGTAAAAGGCTAAAACACCAATTATTAAAAGTCCAGCTTTTAAATAAATATCAAGGGTAGTTTTAATATGAACTTTAAATGATTTATGAATGCATTTAGAAACTGCTATTCCAAATCTTGCTTGGTTTACTTTGGAGGCTGCAATACACAACAGTGAAACTTTCTCTATTAATAATCTCACTGAGCACACTCCTGGGGATGTCCTAGGAAAAGAATTCAAGAGTCCAACAGAAGCAATTCCAGTGCTTTTACATACATTATTTCACTACCGTCTTGAAAACTAGGCATGACAAGGAGTATAATCACCTTTATTCTATAGATGAGGCAACTGCAAATCAGAGAAGTTTGTAGCCTGCCCAAAGACACTCAGTGACTAAGTGCTTGCTATGTGCTGAGCCCCATACGAAAGCACTTCATTTATGTTATCTTACCCACTTACTCCTTGCTCAAAATCGTACAAGATATCTATCCACTTATTCTAAGGGAGAAAAATGAGGCTCAAAGAGGTGAAGCTTCATGCAGAAACATGTAGAAATTGGAGAAGCCAACAATCTGAACTTTTCTACTCTGCCTTTCTCCACTTCCCAGCCATTTCTTGACAGGCAAATCACTCCTGCACTCAAGCAATCCTCTTCCTTAAGCCTCTTGAGTAAATGGGACTACAGACATCTGCCACAACACCCAACCATTCCATTTCTTGAAAAGGCTCTTTATAGACATTTGTACGAGATCAGGCAAAGTCTCTCTCAGAGAGGCTCTGGGTGCTTTGTCACATTTATGTGAAAAGTGACACCAAAGATGGGTGCCAGAGGCTCATGCCTGTAATTCTAGCTACTTAGGAGGAATCTAGATCAGGAGGATCCCAGTTTGAAGCCAGCCCAGGCAAACAGTTCATGAGACCCTATCTGGAAAATACCCAACAACAACAACAAAAAAAACAGGGCTGGCGGAGTGGCTCAAATGGTAAAGAGCCTGCCTACCAAGTATGAGGCCCTGAGGTCAAACTCTAGTACCATCAAAAAAAAAAAAAAGGCTAAAATCTTATTCTTTGTGACAAAAACACACAAACCTATTCATTTTTCCTTTTTTTGGTGGTACTGGGTTTGAATTCAGAGCCTTACACTTTTTAGGCAAGAGCTCTACCACTAAAACCACACCCCCAGCCCACAAACCTATTAATTTTAATCAAGTTAAAATTGGAATTAATGAACTTGTTTTCAAACAGAACAGGTTTTCAAAGTAACACATTATTTGATCCTGTTAAATGGTTAATGCAGCTACTAATTCCCCAGGGATAAATTTAGCACATTCATGTTGCACTCTAAGCTTAGAGCTTCAGAATGGTTTCTTCAATGTAATTTTAAGGACTCAAAAAAGCAGAATTTGATACCTAGTTCTCCTACTCATTAGAATTACTTGGCTATTAATGGGTAAACCATTTAATTTCTCTGAACCTTCACTTCTTCACCCATAAAAAGGGAATAATGCCTATCCCTTCTATTTCGCTGTCATAAACATCAAACAAAACAGAAAATATGGGCTGGAAGAGTGGCTCAAACAGTAGAGCACCTGCTTTACAAATATAAAACCCTGAATTTGAAAAAAATAAAAATAAATAAGGGTTGGAAGTGTGGCTCAAATGGTAGAGCACCTGCCTAGCAAGCGCAAAGTCCTCAGTTCAACCCCAGTACCAAAGAAAAATAAATAAATAAGTATTAAAACCATCCAGGTGCTGGTGGCTCACACCCGTAATCCTAATCCTAGCTACTGAGGAGGCAGAGACCAGGAGGATCAAGGTTTGAAGCCAGCCCACGCAAACAGTTTGTGAAACCCTATCTTGAAAACTCTTACAGAAGTTTTGCCATTTATTTTCCACTACCTTAAGGAACTAAGAATACGTTCTAGTAACTTGCCTTAATATTTTAGCTAGACAATTTTGTATTATTTAACAAAACTATATACAGTTAGCTTCTTTACTTATAAAACAATTGGTGCCAATCTCAATTATTTTCACAGATTTCAGAATCTTTCTGAATCTTATTGGAACTGGAAGATCCAAGAGTTCTGGAGGTATAATAAGGATGATCAGGATGATAAAAATAGTAGTAGCCTACCTACCTTATGGAGCACTTACAATGGATTAGGCACTGTTCTAAATATCATGTGCATATACACACACACACAAACTAATTTAATCTTCTCAACAACACTATGAAACCAGGTACTGGTGGATCATGCCTATAATCCTAGCTACTTAAGAGGCTAAGATTTGGAGGATAGGTGATTCAAGGCCACCACAGGCAAACAGTTCAGGAGACCCCATCTCCAAAATAACCAAAGCAAAATGAACTGGAGGAGTGGCTCAAGCAGTAGGGCACTTGCTTTCGAAGTGCAAAATTCTGAGTTCAAACCCAAGCCCCACAAAAAAAAAACAAACAAACCCCACTATGAATGAGGAAGTATTAAAGTACTATTACTATGCCACTTTTAGGGATGAGAAAACTAAAGCACAAAAATATCAAGTGACTTGTTTAAGTTCACACAACTGTTGTGGTAGAGCTGAGACTCACACTCAAGCTGATAAGAACTCAGAATCTACTATGGATTTTTATACCATACACTATTAATTGTTCCAAAAGGTGGAAAAAACAATGTTACTTTTTATGTAAAAAGCACAAATATACATATACACAGTACAGAAACAAATATACAATATGTCTGTGATATTAAAATTTTTCATGAAGAGGGCAACTAAGGAAAAAAATGTGTAAAAAGGCTGCAGGAAGAGAGGAGATCATGGAAAAACTCTATACTACATGCTCTGTACTACCCAGCCTCACGTCTTGCAACACGTCTTCAGGTGACAATTACCACATTCTGCAATTTTAAGCTGACTAAAAAGTTTTATTTCCCCTTTTTTTATTCACACATAGTACTATCAATAACAAAGGTTATAGCTAAGTGACAGGTCATTTGCCTAGCATGCTCAAAGCCCTGGATGTGATCCCTAGAACTTTAAAAAAAAAGAAACGTTAAGTAAGTATTCCAGAACTTATACGCATTTATACCATCTTGTGCCACAAAAATGAAAACAAACATCACAAAGTGTTAAACAATTTGGGAGATCATCTCTCCAAGAAGTAAATTACTCACAGTGCCTTCAACCTCTGAATAGAGTCCAGACCAGAAACTGAAAGTACTTTTATCCAGTTGATACAGTCGAGATTTCTCAAATGTTTCAGAATCCATGATCTGTCCTAACTCCGGTGGTACATGAGTTGTTGTTTTATAAATCTTTCTCTGAAATATTTTGAAGAAAACACTTTAACAAAATAGTCAATTGCTTATTACAATAGTAATTTGTGATCAAACCCTGAAGGGCTTATAGAATTAATTTGTCGAGTAAGCCAAAAGAACTTGTTTCATACATACACAAATACTGCGTTTGGTCAAGTACACTGACCACTGAAATAACTGATGGAGGAAAGTAAAAGCAGAAAGAAAAACAAGAGAAAACTGAGACTAGCTGACTGAATAAGTAGAATAACAATCAAGGCTGTCTTTGCACTTCAGTTTACCTCTGCAAACTAAAGCTGTAATATCACAAAGGTTACCACTGGTTCTGAGTATAGTGTACATCCTATAACAGAAATTAAAATTCATGAAAAAGAGAATCAACAAACATGCTAACCACAAGTATTAACAGATATTGTGGCTGGTAATTAAATTTGGCCCTAGAAGCCAAATTAAGGGAAATTTGAGGAGTAACAGAGTGACAGGAGTGACTTTATCATAATGCCAAATAAAAGGTAATTTCAGCCCCTGGGACATAACACAGGGAACAGATAACAAAGACTATAATAGACTGCATCTTCTACAATAGTTCTAAAACAAATGCTTTCTCTATTATATTGTGTGTCAATAAAAGCTGAGAGCACTGCTGGGCGCTGGTGGCTCACACGTGTAATCCTAGCTACTCAGGAGGCACAGGTCAGGTGGATTGAGGTTCGAAGCCAGCCAGGACAAATAGCTTAGGATACCCTATCTGGAAAAAACTCAAAGCAAAAAAGGCTAGTGGAGTGGCTCAAAGTATAAATTAAAGCATAATTCAGCAAAGACTACTGTAACTAAGCTTGTTATTAAAGAAAGACAGATGTTCAGTATCTCACCCTCCAATTCTGACAGCCTATATTGTGTGTTTACTGTATGCAGAGGATCTTCTCTAAGTCAGAAAGATTCTACACTAATGAAGCTATTTAACAGTTATGTCAAAGCACCTATCTATACGGACAGCTTAACACTTTTTAAAATATTTATTTATTTTTGTGGTACTGGGGGGTTTGAACTCAGGGCCTTGTGCTTGCTATGCAAGTGTTTTACCACTTGAGCCACGCCTCCATCCCCCAACAATTTATCACTTACCTTTGAATATACTGGGCTAAAGAAAGAGACAGAAACACAATCCTGACATTGTCACATACAGAAAAATGAAAATTTCCCATTAAAAAATTAATTCAGGGCTGGTGGAGTGGCTCCAGTGGTGCTTGCCTTGCAAGGGTAAGGCCCTGAGTTCAAACCCCAGAACCGCAAAATAATAACAATAATAATAATAATAGTAATTCAGTACTGGGGATATAGTTCAGTGATACAATACTGGCCTGACAGGCTCCAGCCTCTGGGTTCCACCTTTAGCACCGCAAAAAAATATAAAATGTAAGTAGATTCATGCAGAATGTAAACCAAGAGGAGAAAACTGCAGAGGAAAAAAAGACTTCAATGATGAAGAAAAATAATCCCAGCAGTTAAAAAGAGAAAGGTTTTCATGACCATCATCACGGAAAGAAGAAAAGCAAACCAGCAGTGGGAGATTGAAATAAAATTATCAATTAAAGTTGGTGTCATTTAAAAGTTCAAATCTCTCATCTATCAAGCTGTTAATTATGGCTATCTTCAGGGAATTATTAACTTTCACTTTCCACTTTACTACTGAAAAATTTTAACAAAAACAATGAAGATATTTTTATGAAAAACAACAAAATGTCTTTTGGACAAAAACAATATATTCACTTTAGGAGAATTTTTAAAATTAAGTGTGCAAGTCCTTGTAAGGAGCGCAAAATATTTTCATAAAATGTTTTCCCAATCCTGCGGCTAAGCATAACATGAATGTCACGGGGAAGTTGTGACTCTTAACATGTTACATCTTCCTTTTGAAAGCTTCAGCCAAAGATCCAGGAAGCTGGGCCGGGCCCTGGGGTCGGCCCCCGCTGGCGACGGGGCAGCCCTTCCCTTTCTTCAGGCCGTAACAGGCTTGCGTGCCATGATAACGCTGCGGAAAACTTCCCTGAGGTACCAAGACCTCCCCCAAAGCCTCAGCCGCCATCTGCACAAGTTAGGAGTTTCGGGCGGAACTACCGGTCGAACCGGAGGCCGAGGCTGGCCTCGGCAGTCCGGGGTCGGGGTCAGGTGGGCCGTGGCAAGGCTCACCTGCCGCTGTGCTAGGAAGGTCTCCCAGAGATACACCGTCCAGGAAAAGAGCAACACCGCCCCGAAGATACGCTTCTCGGCCGGCATCTCCCACAGAGCGTCCAGCGACGCCCACATCCCCATGGCCATCCAGTTCCACCGGCTTCTTCAGCGTGCAACGGTGCCACACCGACACCTGTCCCCTCATAGACTCTTCGCGGTGTCACAGCATTATGGGTCCCTTCCGAGTGCCTCTTCACAGAACCCGCCTTCATCCCACCCTCTCCGCGCAGCCAGCAGTGTCACAAAAACACTCTTCCCCTTGCCTACTGCCGTGGGGCGTCCTAGTTTCTGCTACAAAAGGAACAGCTCCACCTTCCCCACTTCCGGCCCAAGGAGGGTGGAAGCCCAGACGCCGAGTTCCGGCTCCCGTCGAGCGGTGTTGCACCAACATTCTTCCCCCTCCCGGCGCGGGGTTCTTGCTCTGACTTCCGGTTTTCCTCCTTTGCCCAGCTATGAGGTCACCGCCTTGGCTTTCTAGCCTTCCAAGTAGCAATTCCCTTGGGTCCGTGGGCTGCCGGGAGAGAGCTGCTGCCTCTGCTATACTTTCCCCGCTTGGGACCAGCAGACTGGTGGTCCGGTTTAGCGGAAACTGACTGTGGGATCTCCCCCTCTCCCGCCCTGAGGTAGCTGGAAAAGATGGCAAAGTGACTTCTCAATCTCTAATATTCATTCCTATAAACTCGCGTTGTTCAGACGGCGGTGGGTGCAGCCTCGCGATGCCTTAAGAGAGAAACACGGTGTTACAAATGCCTGTACTAGATGTCTGGCTGCAGGCATATTAAGGTGATAAGTATTTTCATTTACAGATCACGCCCACGCCAGCCGTAGTCACAGGCGGCGTTTTGCCTGAGTGTGCCCTAAAGCAAGCCAAAGGACAGCTTGGTTAAAAATACCGGAAATGAGCTGGGCGTGGTGGGACGCTGCTGTAATCTCAGCACTCCGGAGGCCGCGGCAGGCGGACTGCGAGTTTGAAGCCAGCCAGGGCTACATGACGAAAATAATAAACCAATTAATTCTTTAAAAAGTGAAAAATGAATAAACAGCCGGGTGCTGCAGGTTCACACCTATAATCCTAGGAGGCTGAGATCAGGAGGTTCGAGGCCAGCGTAGGCAAATAGCTTTTGAGACCCTATCTCCAAAATAACCAGACCAAATTGAACTGGAGGTGTGCCTCAAGTGGTAGAGCACCTGCTTTGCAAGTGTGTAGCCCTGAGTTCAAACCCCAGTACCGCCAAGAGAAAAAAACTGAAACGGATGGCCCATCCTTCTCTAGGATACAAACTCAAAGCTATTTACCATTTCTGTCTTGAAATTCAAAAAGTGAAATGTCACTGGGACGACTGTTAACATTTATTTCACTTAAAAAGTGAAGTCGGGAGGTGGGATAAAGGAGAATGATGGAGGGGTGAATTCAAGTATGATATAGTTGATATATTGTAAGAATTTCTGTAAATGCCATGATGTATCCCCAGCACAACAATAAAAAGGGAAAAAAAAGGTGAATTCAGAATTTTTCTTTTTTCCTATCTTTTGAACTCAGGGCCTTGACTTGTCAGACAGGGGCTCTACCGCTTGAGCCACACCTCCAGCCCCAGAATTTTTCTAATCAAAAGTAAATCTGAATTGAGGAAGACTATAGAAAGTGGAGAGATCTCCCATGCTCATGGATTGGTAGAATCAACATAGTAAAAATGTCCATACTCCCAAAAGTAATCTACGTGTTTAATGCAATTCCCATCAAAATTCCAAAGACATTCATTAAAGAGGTTGAAAAATCTGTGAAATTTGTATGGAAACACAAGAGGCCACAAATAGCCAAGGCAATACTCAGTCAAAAGAACAATGCTGGAGGTATCACAATACCTGACTTCAAACTATATTACAAGCAGTAACGATAAAAACAGCATGGTACTGGCACAAAAAAAGACATGAAGACCAGTGGAACAGAATAGAGGACCCAGATATGAAGCCACACAACTATAACCAACTTATCTTTGACAAAGGAGCTAAAAATATACGATGGAGAAAAGACAGCCTCTTCAACAAAAACTGCTGGGAAAACTGGTTAGCAGTCTGCAAAAAACTGAAATTAGATCCATGTATATCACCCTATACCAATATTAACTCAAAATGGATCAAGGATCTTAATATCAGACCCCAAACTCTAAAGTTGATACAGAAAAGAGTAGGAACTACTCTGGAGTTAGTAGGTATAGGTAAGAACTTTCTCAACGAAACCCCAGCAGCACAGCAACTAAGAGATAGCATAGATAAATGGGACCTCATAAAACTAAAAAGCTTCTGTTTATCAAAAGAAATGGTCTCTAAACTGAAGAGAACACCCACAGAGTGGGAGAAAATATTTGCCAACTACACATCAGACAAAGGACTGATAACCAGAATATATAGAGAACTTAAAAAACTAAATTTTCCCAAAACTAATGAACCAATAAAGAAATGGGCAAGTGAACTAAACAGAACTTTCTCAAAAGAAGAAATTCAAATGGCCAAAAAACACATGAAAAAATGCTCACCATCTCTAGCAATAAAGGAAATGCAAATTAAAACCACGTTAAGATTCCACCTCACCCGTTAGAATAGCCATCATTAGCAACACCACCACCAACAGGTGTTGGCGAGGATGCGGGGGAGAAAAAGGAACCCTCTTACACTGCTGGTGGGAATGTAAACTAGTACAACTACTCTGGAAAAAAATTTGGAGGCTACTTAAAAAGCTAAACATTGATCTACCATTTGATCCAGCAATACCACTCTTGGGGATATACCCAAAAGACTGTGACAAAGGTTACTCCAGAGGCACCTGCACACCCATGTTTATTGCAGCACTATTCACAATAGCCAAGTTATGGAAACAGCCAAGATGCCCCACCACTGACAAATGGATTAAGAAAATGTGGTATCTATACACAATGGAATTTTATGCAGCCATGAAGAAGAATGAAATGTTATCATTTGCAGGTAAATGGATGGAATTGGAGAACATCATTCTGAGTGAGGTTAGCCTGGCCCAAAAGACCAAAAATTGTATGTTCTCCCTCATATGTGGACATTAGATCAAGGGCAAACACAACAATGGGATTGGACTTTGAGCACATGATAAAAGCGAGAGCACACAAGGGAGGGGTGAGGATAGGTAAGACACCTAAAAAATTAGCTAGTATTTGTTGCCCTTAATGCAGAGAAACTAAAGCAGATACCTTAAAAGCAACTGAGGCCAATAGGAAAAGGGGACCAGGAACTGAGAAAAGCTGAGATCAAAAAGAATTAACCTAGAAGGTAACACACATGCACAGGAAATTAATGTGAGTCAACCCCCTGTATAGCTATCCTTATCTCAACCAGCGAAAACCCATGTTCCTTCCTATTATGGCTTATACTCTCTCTTCAACAAAATTAGAGATAAGGGCAAAAAAGTTTCTGGGTATTGAGGGGGTGGGGGGAGAGGGAGGGGGTGGAGTGGGTAGTAAGGGAGGGGTTGGGGGCAGGGGGGAGAAATGACCCAAGCCTTGTATGCACATATGAATAATAAAACAATAAAAACAAAGTAAATCTGATTTAGTTAATTGGTTCTACAGACCCACATTGCTGATTTGCATAATTATTATTCACAATAGAGCTACACCTGTAGCTGCAACTTAATATATAAATTACAGCGTTATTGTAATGCTAAAGATGTGTATGTGCTGTGGCTCACGCCTGTCATCCTAGCTACTCAGAAGGCAGAGATCAAGAGGATCGTAGTTCAAAGCCAGCCTGGGCAAATAGTTCTTGAGACCCTGTCTCGAAAAAAAAACATTACAAAAAAGGGCTTGTGGAGTGGCTCAAGGAGTAGGCCCTGAGTTAAGTATATAAATAAATAACCAGAGCAAAATAGACTGGAGGTGTGGCCAAGAGGTAGAGTGCCTCCTTTGCAAGCACTGGGTTCAAACCTGTCCCCACCAAAAACAAAAACGAAAAAATCGAATAGAAGTGAAATTTAACCCCATTGATTTAGCAGTAAGAAATACTCATCCAAGTGCATGAATTAATTGGTGAGAAAGCCCCATCCATCTTACTAAGAGATGCAGGCTCTATAGAATTTTACCTTTTATGTTTATATAATGTCAAAATTTGTAATTGTGTCATTTTTATCTGCTGCATAATAAAAATAATTGTAATGATATTTAAGAATTCTAACACAGAACCATAAAGTTACTGAAAAAAATTTTTTTGAGACAGGGTCTTGCTACTATGTAGTTCAGCCTGGCCTCAAATCATGATCCTTTTGCCTTAGCTTCCAGATTACAGACATGTGTCCCCATGCCAGGAAGCTAAAGGAAATTTAAACTTTTTTTTTACTATAAACCCCAGTCCCACCAAAATTTTTTTACTTTAATACATTCATATTTTTATTGCAAAGACCTGATTAATAAAAGGTTTTTCAAACATCAAAATATTATATTTGTGTTGGGAGCCATGAGCTGCAATCTGACAAGGTTACTGTGGCTTAGCAGCATTCCAACAAGGTCGGAATCTGCAGGTGCACCATGTCTCTATCACGGTGCGAAGGAATGCTGAATGGTTTCCCTTGAATGAAAAGAAGTTTATACTTAGGCAAGGACACTGGCAGTAAGAATGCAGGGTGGCCAAAACAGAAAGGTTGTAACTAGGTCAGAATGTTTTTGATGTTTAAGTCTCTTCCTCTTTTGTATAAAGCTTGCTGAGAAAAATAAAAAATTTGCCAGTTAGTCATCAGCCTTCTGGCCCTCTTGGATATGTGTCATCTGTTCATTCCTTCCCTGAGCCCTTTTAGGTCAAGGACCTCTGTGATCCCAGCAAGTGACACCCCAAACAGGGCACGCAGACAGAGGCTTAAGGTAAGGAAGGCTCTGGTGGCGTGCACACATAAGTTTTAGTGTCAGTTTGAGGTTATGGAGCAACATTGAGAGAAATGGGACAACAAGAAAGTAAAGAGTGGGCTCTCTTTACAGAAATTTTGTGTTCAGTGATGTGTGGTCAAGGATGTAAAGTGTCTAAAAGTCAGCTTGAACATTTTTTGTCTCATGTCCAAGAGCGCACTCAAAATTAATATAATTGTTTTGTGTTTCATTGTGTAAGTTTTGTGTATGTCTATGATGTGATTAATTTATTAGAGATAAAAAAATCTAGTATCTAACAGTCTTATCTTATTGCTGTCCTGTTAAAAGACCTGTAATGGTTCATTTCTGACAGGATGCCCAAACTGGGTGGGATGACCTTAAATGTTCTTCATTATTGACATCAGTCCACTCCTCGAGGCCCTTTTAACACTTTCCTTTGATGAACCGCAGAAGCATAATCCACAAGA